CATAAGTTTTGGTATGTTGTGCTGTTATCCTCATTTACTTCCAGAAAATTTTTGATTTCTCTTTTGATTTCTTCTATGACCCATTGTTCATTCAGGAGCATGTTGTTCAATCTCCATGTGTTTGCATATGCTCTAGGGATTCCTGAGTTGCCAATTTCCAACTTCATCCCTTTATGGTCTGAGAAGCTGCATGGTTTATTCTAATTCTTTTAAATTTGCTGAGACTTGCTTTATGGCCTAGTATGTGGTCAATCCTAGAGAAGGTTCCATGTATTGCTGAGAAGAATGTAAATGCTTTCTGTGTACGATGAAAAGTTCTGTAGATATCTGTTAGATCCATTTGGGCTATAGTGTCATTTAAATCTACTGTCTCCTTGTTGATCTTCTGTCCTGTTGATCTGTCTATTTCTGAGAGTGGGGTATTGAAGTCCCCCAGTATTATTGTATTGGGATCTAAGTCTCCCTTTAACTCCCTTAACAAATCTTTTAAATAAACCGGTGCCCTGTAATTAAGTGCATATACATTGATAATCATTATATCTTCCTGTTGAATTGATCACTTATATAGTGCCCCTCTTTGTCTGTCCTAACAGTTTTTGTGGTAAAGTTTATGTTGTCCAATATTAAGATGGCTACGCCTGCTCTTTTTTCATTTCTGTTGGCATGGTATATCTTTTTCCAGCCTTTCACTTTCAGTCTGTATGGATCTTTATTGGAAAGCTGTGTTTCTTGTAAGCAGAAAATAGATGTGTTTTGTTCCATTACCCAATCAGCCAATCGGTGTCTTTTAACTGGACAGTTCAGGCCATTAACGTTCAATGTGACTATTGATAAGTAGTAGCTTTGCCCTCCAATTTGCCAAAGATATTTTCTGATATATGTTTTGAACTTCCTGTGATCTTTTGGTTTGAGATTTCTTTCATATTGATGTCCGTGTTTCTGTGTTTCTGTGTGTAACACATCTTTAAGCATCTTTTGCGGGGCTGGACGAGTGGCGACAAATTCTTTCAATTTCTGTTTGTTTTGAAAGGTCTTTATTTCACCTTCATTCACAAATGAGAGCTTAGCAGGATATAATATTCTGGGCTGGCAGTTTTTCTCTCTTAGTTCCTGGGCTATATCTCGCCATTCCCTCCTAGCTTTTAGAGTTTCTGATGAGAAGTCAGCTGTGAGTCTGACTGGAGATCCTCTGAGAGTAATCTGACGTTTCTCTCTTTCACATTTTAGGATCTTTTCTTTATGTTTCACTGTGGTGAGCTTGATTACAACGTGTCGTGGTGAGGATCTCTTTTGGTCATGTTTATTAGGGGTTCTATGAGCTTCCTGTATTAGGATGTCTCTGTCCTTCTCCAAACCTGGGAAATTTTCTGCTAATATCTCACTAAAAAGGCCTTCTAATCCTTTCTCCCTCTCCATGCCTTCAGGAACTCCTAGAACCCGAATGTTGGGTTTTTTAATAGTATCCTGAAGATTCCTGACAATATTTTTTAGATTTCTAATTTCCTCTTCTTTCCTTTGGTTTGATTTTATATTTTCCTGTGCTCTGTCTTCTAAGTCTGATATTCTCTCTTCTGCTTCATCCATTCTGTTTTTAAGGCTCTCTAATGTGTTCGTCATTTGATCTATTGAATTCTTCATTTTATTATGATTTATCATCACTATCACAGTTTCATTTTCTACTAGTTGTTTCATTTCTTTTTGATTCCTCCATAATATTTCATTTTCACGAGAGAGATTTTCTGTCTTGTCCATTAAGTATTTCTGTAGTTCAAGAATTTGTTTTTGAGAACTTCTTGATGTTCTTATCAATTTTTGAGATCTGCTTCTTGCATTTCTTCTATCATCATCTTCATATTCTTGAATTGGGGTGTCTATTTCATTTGGGGGTGTCATAGTGTCTTCCTTGTTACCTCAGCTTTTGCGTTTGTTTGGCATATTGGAGATATTCTTTGGTTTTTTCTCGTTATACTGTGTCTCTAGATTAAGAGGACTGTCTGCTTTTGATGGATCCTTAGAGGCTGTGATGGGTGTGGCCAGAGAGCTCTGGTTCTACAGGGTTAAGGGTGTGCCAAAGGTGATTCACCCTGATAGTTCTTTGCTCGCTCTCGTGCTCTCTCTTTTTTTTTTTTTTTCTTTTAACTCAGTTGGGAAGTAATTCCACACAGCTGAGTGGAATTGAGAGTAGTTGATGTATGAAATCTGGCCCCTGTATGTATTCATTTGCTTACCAGAGTCAGGTTTTTCTGCTTGGCTAATGAGGGGCACCCGCTTTATTTATGCAAAATGGCATGCACTGTTTTACTTACATAAAATGGCACCTGCCGTTTGTCTTGCTCAGCTTCGTAAGGTGAGTGGAGAGAGAGGCTAAATGTCAGTGCTGGTTCCCCTTATTTATTCAATTTTTTTCTCTTCTCCAGCCAGCCTGGTGAACTTTCCCCAGTGGAGTTTCAGGCCTCCTTCTCTGAAGGCTCTTTCTGCCTTTCCCTGCCAATGTCTCGGGTTACTGAGAGGGTTGTTGTCTCACCTCCCCTTCCAGTGCTGGTGCACAGACTCTGCAGCTCTGGTGGCTCTGGTGGCTCCAGCGGTTCCGGTGGCTCTGGCAACTCGGCTTCCATGTGGTGGGCAACCTTGCTCTCCCCGTAGGCCCTCCGAGTCACAGCCAGTAGATCCAGAAGAGTTTCCTCTGCAATTTTTGCCTGATCCTTTTCCTGAGGCTACCGTAACTCCACTTTTATTAAACTATCTTTTCCCGGACTATCAGTGTGCACCCTCACTATTGCGCCATTTTGGCTCCGCCCCCAGTTTATTTTATTTTGTGATTTATTCTTTTTTTCTACTTAATACCATTGGTTGAACTCTTTACTTAACATATAATTAATCATAGGTGTATTAAGTCAATTGAAAATAGATCCCTTGGCCGGCGCCATGGCTCAATAGGCTAATCCTCTGCCTAGCGGTGCCGGCACACCAGGTTCTAGTCCCAGTTGGGGCACTGGATTCTGTCCCGGTTGCCCCTCTTCCAGGCCAGCTCTCTGCTGTGGCCAGGAGTGCAGTGGAGGATGGCCCAAATCCTTGGGCCCTGCACCCCATGGGAGACCAGGATAAGCACCTGGCTCCTGCCTTTGGATAGGCGCAGTGCGCCAGATGTAGCACGCCGGCCGCGGCAGCCATTGGAGGGTGAACCAACGGCAAAAGGAAGATCTTTCTCTCTATCTCTCTCTCACTGTCCACTCTGCCTGTCAAAAAAAAAAAAGAAAGAAAATAGATCCCAGTTAAAAATAAGAATGGGAATGAGATGTACAGTTCAGTACACATTCTCATGGGCTTACACCTAAGTGTAAAACTAAATACTTGCCATGGACTCCAAATCCCATTCAGGTGGCAGGTACTAATGCCATCTTACTAGTAAGAGTGATTTTAAATGCATTTAAATGCATAGTTTAAGTGATCATAAAGATAGGAGTAAGTGTCAAATGATCACATAACTAAGACCAAGTGTGTGCTAATAACAACAGAATGAAAAAGGAAAGTTTCTACATGGGAAGCAGTCCATGCAGCAGACTCATAGAATGACAAATGCCCTAAGCAGCACTATGACATCACAATCAGCCCCTAAGGCATTCAGATCTGTCTGAAAATCCCATGAGAGAATTTCAGGCATGGAAAGCCAAGACTTTGGGGCAAAAAATATTATCCATGAAGGATCTCTGTGAGAACCCAGTAGAAAGAAGGGGCAATCAAAGAATGATGTATTTTTCTCTGAAGGGAGGAGAGAACTTCCACTTTGCATATGGCCCTATCTAAATACTGACAGAGATTGTGGACTCAAAAAGCTTCCACAGCCTTGACAGCTCACATCAAGAGCTTCGGGTGGTCACTGACAAAAATAAGAGTGTTGGGGCGAGCATTGTGGCATAGCAGGTTAAAGCCCTGGCCTGAAGCACTGGCATTTCATAAGGGCACCAGTTCAAGTCCCAGCTGCCCCTCTTCTGATCCATTTCTCTGCTATGACCTGGGGTTGCAGTGGAGGATGGCCCAAGTCCTTGGGCCCTTGCACCTGGAAGAAGTTCTTGGCTCCTGGCTCCAGTTGTGGTTGCCATCTAGAAAGTGAAGCAGTGGATGAAAGACCTCTCTGTCTCTTCCTCTCTCTGTAACTCCATCTTCAAATAAATAAAATAAAATAAAGCTCTAAAATTAAATTATATAGCTATTAATGTGACAGTTGCATAGTAGTTAACTTTTATTACTTAAAAGCATATTTGTTTTTGAAATTAAAACGTTTATTTATTTACAAGGTATATTTGGGGGGAGAGAGAGACACAGATTTAGAGAGAGACAGACATGTTCCATCTGCTGGTTTACTACTCAAATGGCTTCAGTATGCAGGGCTGAGACAAGGTGAAACCAGGATCCAGGAGCCAGGAGCTTCACCCAAGTCTCCTATATGACTGCTAGGGACCCATTTGCTCTGCCCATCACACTTTGCTTTCTCAGGCCAAATAGCAAAGTGGATCAGAAGTTGAGTAATCTATATACAAACTAGGGCCAATATGGGATTTACCCCCCATGCCACAATGCCATCCCATGTTCTTATTTCAAAGCAGAAATGGATGCTCTCTTTTTAACTCCTCTATGGTACTGGGATGGCTTCAGAAATGTGCTTATATTCCCAGATCGACTAGTGCATGAAGAACTCACCATTGTAATGGCAGATGTTTGGCCTATTGGTTAAGATCCCAAATAAAACTACTGTATCAAACATCAGAGTTACCAAGGTTCTGACCCAGCTCTGTCCCCGACCCAAGTTTTCTGCTGATGCAGACCTGGGAGGAATGGACAATGGCTCAGTAATACATGCATTTGGGGGTGAATCATGGGATGTTGAGCTCTATCTCCATCACCCTGTCATGTACAAGGTAAATTAATTAGTGACTTTAAAAATGTGATAATCATACAGAGATCAAACCATTGTGTATAGTCATGCCCTTTGCACTGTCTTGCTAAGTACAGAATTCTGTATTCCTGGTGCAGGCACAGCAGAGCCTGGGCACTCTGGAGTCATGGCTCATGAGAATGTAGGGGCTCACAGCTGGAAAACTCCCAGCAAGTACTGCAGAGGTGTTCACCAGCCACAAAGTGGGATTTCTTAAAGCAGTCAAGCAAATATGGAAGATGGAGGATAGAGTGAATAAAGACACAAAGGAGCTCACCAAGACGAGGATGCTTTGGGTGGCTCTAGACTCTGGGGAGGATCTGGAGGAGACGTTGGTCCCATGGATGTATTGGACCTGCTGCTTGTGCCTGTACAGTGTGACAACCATGGAGCTGCTGGACCACAGCAAGAGGGCCACGAAGAAAACATCTCGGAATAACACCAGTGCCGCATAGAGTGTTCCATACTCTATAATTTTGTCAGTGATTGAATAGCAGTAGCCGTAATCAGTTTTCTTTGTGATATTTTTTTCACTCCAATTTGCACTCACACCAATAGGTACTAGGATATTTAGTATCATGTTCACCATCCAGAAGAGGATAACAGAAGGGGCAATGTACTTGGGAACCTTTGCTTTGAGCTTGGCCCACAGAGTGTTCCTGGGACTGACAGTGATGGCCTGGAAAATGCTCAAGAGGCAGGTGCTGCTAATAGACACATCCCTTCCCACTCTGTGCACATAGAACACAAGCTTACATGCTGTGTCACTGAGGAAATGCTTCATCCCCAAAGCAGTCATGGTTTGGGGAACTCCTCTAGAGAGAATGACTAAACAGTTGGCTACAGTCAGGTGTTTGATGATCAGATCTGTGGGCCTAAACTTGCATCCTGTGAAGTAGAGATAGACATAATGAGAAAGAAGAGAGAAATTCCCAAGGACTCCTGTAATGGTCTGTGATAAGAAGATGGTCCCCGTTGTCCAGTCTTTGGTGACCATACCGTAATCTCCCAATGCCTGATTATTTTCTCTGAACCTAAGATTCCTGTATGGGAAATGGGACAAGAATTATGTGCATTAATATCAACCAAAGTCAACACTCTCTATTCACAATATCGTCTACTTAAATCCATTCACACTTAGAGGTAGCTCTTAAAATGTTTATGTCTTATTTAAAAAGTGTTTAGGTGCTGGTGCTGTGGCGCAGCAGGTTAAAGCCTAAAGCACTGGCAACCCATGTGGGGGCCGGTTCTAGTCCCAGCTGCTTCTCTTCTCATGCAACTCTCTGCTATGGCCTGGGAAAGCAGTAAAAGATGGTCCAAGTCCTTGGGCCCCTGCATCCATGTGGGAGACCTGGAATAAGCTCCTGGGTCCTGGCTTTGGATCGGCATAGCTCTGGCTATTTTGGCCATCTGGGGAGGGAACCAATGGATGGAAGGCTTCTCTCTCTCTGTCTCTACCTCTCTAACTATGTCTTTCAAATAAATAAAATAAATCCATAAAAATATTAAGGTATTTACAAAATATGACTAACAAATATGTGGTGAATTTGAGTAATTCTTGTATTCATAAATTCTGAAATGAGCAGTATCCATTTGTTGAATTAAGATTATCACTTAGGGAGCAATAGTATAGCCATTTGCCTAAATTTTAAGTTTTAATTGTGTAATTTGGTGAGTTGAATCTGCATGGTCTTATAAAATTATATGACTATTGATATCTTTTACCAAACTAGTTATCGGTGTTCTTCAAATAACATAATCATATATATTTTATTATGATTTAAATTTATTATAGACTAGTATCTTTTTATTAATTTTTAGTGCATGTTTAAACATAAAGATTTACTTCACTATCAACTTCAGTATTGATTAAGCATTTAGGCATCTTTTGACGATGTAAATAACTGATTATAGTATTTTTTCTAATATCCTTCTCCTTTAAAATTATATTTTATTGACAAGTGGGTTGCATATTAGGAAAGCAATTCAAACAGTAGTTGGCTTTTTTTAGTATGAGAAACAGATACCTAAGTGCTGGTCACATGTTATGCTATAGACTATGGGATAGGAAACCCTGTGATGAAGTCATGTATGCTGGGAACTAAGTATAACCACTTTACTGTCATATGCTTTGACTGTGACTCATGGTTAATTAATGATTAAGTTTTCCATTTGATGATTTTTAAAGGTTACTGAGTCCTAGAGCATGTAAACCACATGGAATAGCTAGGTTGTCCAATCTTCTGTAGCTTATTACTTGAAACTGTGGAACTTATGAATGACATGAAAATATTTCCAGTTCAGAACAAATGCTGGAAGACACATTCGTACATGGAAGCTTCCAGGTGATGTCCATCTCTACAGGACATGCTTTCATGTGGCTTAAAAATCTTCCCTTATGTAAAGGCCCAAACTAATCTTACCATCTGCATGGTACAAAGGATGTTTTCAGTAGGAACAATCACTGACTGCTTGAGGATTCAGACAACAGAGTTACAGAAAACCTTGCTGTTCCAGCAACTGCTCCAGGAATCCATAGTTTCTTCCAGGAGCAGAAGATACTTGTAGGATTTCCAAGTCTCTATCATAAGCACATGATAGATAGATGTGCATCTCTGATAATTCTGAAAGTGGAGTCTATGATTCCCATCCAGTAGGATGGAATAGCAGATTTACAGGTGCCACAGTCCTTAAATACATCAACACCAGATTTCAGGATTATTTCTTTGAAACCATGAACATATGTCATTGAGGATAACACTGAATTACATTAGGAGCCCCCAGGATTGGAGTAGGGTGTAGGATCCCATCTCCCTGTCCTATCTCAGCACACATCCCAGAATCCTTCCTCCTTCCTGTGAGGCTGGGTCACAGGACCAGGAGCAAGCACAGGAGAATCCCCTTTCTCACCTGATCACTCACCCAGACTCCAGAGATGCCTCCTTGCTGAAAGCTTCTTTCTTTCCCACTGACATGGAAAATACCCTTTCTTTCAGCCTCCAGGACAAGCGTTGGCATAAAGGTCACCACAGTTGTATTGAGTGGGATGGAGGCAGCTGGAGCACTAGAAATGCATTTGTGTCTGTGACCTCACCTCCCTGCTGAACTGCAATTATCTTTTCATCTGTAGCTGCAGTGAATTGAAAATTGGGGATCTGAGAATACTGTGAAACTTTTTTCACTCTTGGTAACTGCCAGGATCCATTGAATCATAGTTGTTAATATCTCAAAGGAGACTGTTCATCTCTCACAGTGACTCTTCCTTTCTCAATTCCCTGGAGCAGACAGAGTCTGCCCTAGAGGGAGCAGGAGATCCTGAGCCTGACATGGGAGGGACAGGCAGTGAAATGCCTGTGTCTCCCTGGATGCACGGCAGATTTCTTTCTACCCCACAGTGAGTTCCTTCCCAAACTTCAGACCAGTAAGCTCAACATCATTTATGTAATGAGCAGAGCCATTTGAACAATGCTCCTGAGAAAGGTTTTCAGAAACACAGGTGCAAGAGAGAACATGATGACCTTAGTTTACATTAGAAACCAGTGCTCTTTGGTTCTGCATTGTGCTAGCTGGTAACAGCCACTCCCTGTAATGCCAGCATCCTATGTGGACCCCTGTTCCACATTGCATCCAGCTTGCTGCTAATGGCAGTGTAAAGCACAGATGATGGCCTAGGTGTTGGGTTGCTGGCACCCACATGGTAGACCCCCATTTAGTCCTGGCTTTGGCCTGGCCCAGCTCCAGGCATTGTGTTCATTTAGGGAGTGAACCTGCTGGTTTGAGATCTCTATATATAATTCTGCCTTTTGAATAATTAATGTTTAAAAAAAGAGAAATAAACCATTGTTCTCTTTTGTTAAAAAATTATTTATTTGAAAGGCAGACTTACAGAGAATCAGAGGCAGAGAGAGAGAGAGAGAGAGAGAGAGGGGTCTTCTATCTACAGGTTTATTCCTCAAATGGCTGCAATGGCTAGAGCTTGGCCAATCGGAAGCCAGGAGCCAAGAGCCTCCTCTGGGTCTCAAATGCAAGTGCAGGGTTCCAAGGTCTTGGGCCATCTTCTGCTTCTTTCTCAGCCCATAGCAGAGAGCTGAATTGGAAGTGGAGCAGCCAGGACTCGAACTGGCACCCATATGGGATGCCAGCACTGCAAGCAGCAGCTTTATCCCCATGCCACAGTGTCTGCCCCCATTTTTCTTTAATATATTAATGAAAAAGTGATTAAAAGAAGAAATAAACAGAAGGAATGAAGATGAAGGGAATTGTATCTATGAAAAAAAAAGTATCAAGAATATTTGTTACATCCTCTTGGAGGAAATAAGTCACTCATTATCCACTAAAGAAAGAAAGCACTAGATTCGCCTGGTTCTCCATGAAAAACTTTTTGGAATTAAGGAGGATGTGGGGATTTTACACCAAAGTATTTTCCTTTTTAAAGATTTATTTATTTTCCCTGAGAGTCACAGTTGCACAGAGAGAGAAGGAGATGCAGAGAGAGAGAGAGGTCTTCCATCCATTGGTTCACTCCCCAAATGGCTGCAACAACAGGAGGTGAGCTGATACAAAGCCAGGAGTCTTTGTATCCAGGTCTCCCATCTGGGTTCAGGAGCCCAAGGACTTGGGTCATCATCCACTGCTTTCCCAGGCCATAACAGAGAGCTGGATCAGAAGTGGAACAACCAGGACTTGAACCGACACCCATATGAGATGCCGGCACTGCTTTACCCATTACGCCACAGAACTGGTCCCCCAAAGTATTCTTTCCCTGTTTGCACCTTCTTTCTCATCTCCACTGAACACAAGAAGCTAAAGAAAATAACAACAGTGGATATACAGAAGCTTATGAGCACTGAAAAATGAAATAATTTAGCAGGCAGATTCTAAAATTCTCTCAATTACTAGATAAGTAATCTTACCCCTCAATTCAAGATAATTGAATGGTTACCATGATTTTCTGGCCCCATCCCCTTTTTGCTTATTGTTTGTAGTCTTGATTGACTTTCTAATTAATAAGGAGATAATTCATGGGTAGAAATTCATTCTTGGGGGCTGGCGCTGTGGTGCAGTGGATTAATGCCCTGACCTGAAGTTCTGGCATCCCATATGGGCGCTGTTTCGAGACCTGGCTGCTCCACTTCCAATCCAGCTGTCTGCTATGGCCTGGGAAGGCATATAAGATGGCCCAGCTCTTTGGTCTCCTGCACCCATTTGGGAGACCCAGAAAAGCTCCTGGCTTCGGATAGGCGCAGTTCCAGCTGTTGCGGTCAGTTGGGGAGTGAACCATGGGGTTGAAGACCTCTCTCTCTCTGCCTCTCCTCTCTCTGTGCAACCCTTTCAAATAAATAAAAGAAATTCATTCTTTGAAATTTAGTTCAGGGAAATGCACTAGTTTACCAAGCCCACTCTCTGATACACCTCGATTTCCAGGTCAGACTTTAGAGTCCTGGTTTTGGATAGCCCAGAGACTGTTGATTGGTATCCTGTGCTCAGTGATGGACAGAGATGCCAGAATTCCCTGGTGAAATTCTCACATGTATCGAGCCTTTTTCTGCCCCAAATCTGACATGATAAAAATCCCCATATTTTGAGATTAAATATATAGTAACTTGTGTATGAAGAGCATCAAACATAGGATTGAAAATTTTAAATTTTAATACTCTTGTTTCTCCTTATCACCAGCCTTATGATAAATAAATCACTATTTTCCTAACACTATGCATATTTTCCCTTGGGTGTTACTTCAGCAATATGTAATATTACCCAGCAAAAAGAACATTGCTGATGTAATTATGGTTACTGCTATTTCCTTTTTCTAAAATTTTTGAGAAGATTTATTTTATTTGAAAAAATTACAGAGACTGAGGGAGAGACAGAGAGCAAAGTCTTCCATCTGATGGTTCACTCCCCAATGGCTGCTGCTGCCAGAGCTGGGCCAGACTGAAGCCTGAAGCCAGGAGCCAGGAGCTGTCTCTGGATCTTCCACGTGGGTGCTGGACCCTAGCACTTGAGCTCCTTCTATGCTTTTCCAGGCTATTTGCAAGCAGTTGGGTCAGAAGTGGAGAAGCCAGTTTTCGAACTGGAGCCCATGTGGGATGCTGGTGCTATAGGCAGCTTTACCTGTTAAGCAATAAAACCGGCCCCAGGAACATTTGACATGATGAAAGTTTTTTCATTTTGACTCTTTAAAAATTCTTAAGATGATATATTAAAATTGAACAAATATACAAAATGCTGTGCTCATATAGCAAATAGAATTAGACAAACTTGGAGAGAAACACACACCCATGAACACACCATCACAATCATTGACATAAATATATCCATCTTTTCTAAAACTTCATTACACCTTCTGATTTATTATTTTATTATTACTGTCTATAAAATGGCCACTTAACAGCTACACTTTTAGAGAATTTTCAGTACATGATATAGCAGTGTTAACCACACTGTGCTACATGACAGAATTCTGGGCCTTTTTCATTTTGCAAACTTAAAACTTCTTATGTTGTGATTCATGATTCCATTTTCTGTGCAACCCTGCAACCACTATTATACTCTCTGCTTAACTGAATTTACTGTATTTTAATTTTTTAAAAGAAGAGTTAAGGGAGAGAATGCACTGAGTCACTCCCCTAAAAAGGGCACAATGGCCAGGGCTGGGCCAGGCTGATGCCAGGTGCCAAGAACTCCATTTGGATCTCACATCGGGGTGCAGGGACCCAAGTACTAGGGCCATCTTCTGCTGCTTTACCAGGTCCTTTAGCAGCATCCTGGATTGGAAGCAGGCCAGCTGGAACTTGAGGAAGAGCTCTGATATATGATGACAGTATCACAGGTAGCAGCTTTACCCACTGTGCTAACACGTGGCCCCTGAACTTAGTATTTTGTATTTCTATCATATAAATGAGATCATGTAGTGATTGGCTTTCTGTGTCTGACTCACTTCACTTACTTAATGTCCTTCATGCCCATCCATATTGGTGCAATGCTAGAATTTCTCTCTTTTTTTAAGAATAGATAATAGTCCATGTTTATATAGCACAGCATCTTTATTCACTCACCTCTCAGTACATACTTAGGTTGCTTCCATATCATGGATATCATGAACAATGTAGTAATGAACATGAGTTAGATGATGTATTCACGATCTCATTTCATTTCCTCTGATTACATATGCACAAGTGGGGTCACAGGGTCATATGATAGACTCATTTTTAATTATTGAGGCCCTACCATGCCATTTTCCATAATGGAAATTTATATTCCTATCAAAATACACAAGAATTTACTTTTTTGCACATTCTCCCAACATTTGTTACATTTTCTGTATTTAAGGACTTTGCTAGGTTTCCATAACCAGCTCCTTTCAGCCAAATTCATTACATCAGATTCAGGGGTAACACGTGGTTCTCCATTTCTTTGGAGCAAGGAACATTAATAACATTTCCATAGGAATTAACGTGACAATTACATAGTAATTCACTTTTATTTCTTTAAATCATATTCTTTATTTTAAAAATTAAGACATTTATTTATTTGAATGGAAGAGTTATTGAGAGAGAGGGAGAGAAGAAGAGAGACAGAGAGAGATGTTCCATCCTCTGGTTTACTACCTGAATGGCTTCAGTGCACAGAGTAGAGCCAAACTGAAGCAATGAGCCAGGATCTTCATCCAGGTCTCTCATATGGATGATAGGGACCCAGCTTCAGATCATTTTCCTCTGTTGTCTCAGGCCAATATAGGGAGGTGGATCAGAAGTGCAGCAGCCTATATATGAATTGGTGCAATTTCAGATTAACCCCCTATGCCACAGTGCCATCCCAATGTTCTTTTTTTAAAGCAGAAATTCATGCTGTCTTATTAACCACACTCTGGTTAGAACAGATCCAGAAATATGCTTACACTTCCAGATGGATTAGTGCATGAAGAGCTTACCATTGTAATGGCAGGTGTTTGGCCAGTTGGTTCAGATCCCAGATCAAATTGCCACATCAAACATCAGAGTTACCAGGGTTTGATCCCCAGCTCTACTCCCTTCCCAGTCTTGCTGCTGATGCAGACCTGGGAGGCAGGGATAATGGGTCAAGTAATTGTGGGGAACTCAAATAGAGTCCCTTGCTTGCAGGATTTGTGTTTGGGACAAGCTATTACAGGCATTTGGGTGTGAATCATGGGTGGTTAGCTCTATGTTTCCCCCCCCTTCTCATGTAGAAAATAAATTAATTAGTAAATTAATGTGTTTTGATACATTGAGAAAAAACTCTGTGAATATTTCTATACTTTGCATGGTCTTGCTGTGTAGGGTTTTGTGTATTCCTGGTGCAGGCACAGCAGAGCCTATGGACTCTGGAGTCCTGGCTCATGAGAATGTAGGGGCTCACAGCAGGAAAACTCGAAGCAAGTACTGCAGAGGTGTTCACCAGCCACAAACTGGGGTTGCTTAATACAGTTACTCTAATATGAAAGAAGGAGGAGAGAGTGAACAAAGTCACAAAGGTGCTCACAAGGACAAGGATGCTTTGGGTGGCTCTGGATTCTGGGGAGGACTTGGAAGAAACACTGTTCCCATGGATGTATTGGACCTGCTGCTTGTGACTGCACAGAGTGACAATCATGGAGCTGCTGGCCCACAACATGAGCCCAACAAAGAAAATATCTCGCGATAACACGAGTGCTGCATACAGTGCTGCGTACTTTGTGATTCTGTCACTATTGATTGAATAGCAGTAGCTAAGGTCAGTTTTACTTGTGATGTTTTTGTCACTCCTGTTCCAAGTCACACGTGCTGGTACTATGGCATTTAGTATCAAGTTCACCATCCAGAAGAGTAAAATGTAGTGGCCAATGTGCTTGGTAGCTTTTGCTTTGAGCCTGGCCCACATAGTGTTCCTAGGACTGATGATAATGACCTGGGAGATACTCAAAATGCAGGTGCTGCTAATGGACACATCCCTGCCCACTCTGTGCACATAGAACATGAGCTTGCACCCTATGTCACTGAGGAAATGCCTCATCCCCAAAGCATTTGTGGTTTGGGGAACTCCTCTAGAGAGAATGACTAAGCAGTTGGCTACAGTCAGGTGTTTGATGATCAAATCTGTGGGCCTAAACTTGCATCCTGTGAAGTAGAGATAGAGATAACAGGAAATAAGAGAGAAATTCCCTAGGATTCCTATAATAGTTTGTAACAAGTAGATCATCCCAGTTTTCCAGTCTCTAGTGACCAATCCGTCATCTCCCAATGCCTGATTATTTTCTCTGATCCTGAGATTCCTGTATGGAAAATGAGGCAAGAGTTACATGTGTCAATATCAACCAGATTTAAATCTCTCAATACACAGTATTGTCCACTTACATCAGTTAACAACTTAGAGAAAGCTGTGTAATATGCATATTTAAGTCTTAAGGCTACCTACAAAATTTGATTTACAAACATGTGGAGACTTTTGAGTAATTCATGTATGCATAACTCCTTGAAAGGCAGAAGTATCCATTTCATTTGAAATGAAATTATCACTTGGGCAGCCATTTTCTAAATTTTCTAAATTTAAAATTTTTTAATGCATAAAGTGGTGATTTGAACCTGGAATTTACCTGGAAGCAGGTAACTTAATCATCTTGCTAATCTAAAAACTGGTTAGATGTGTACTTCAAATTACATATGTGCATATTTATTTTCTTATGATGTCAATTTATTAGACTAATGGGAATATACTTTATCAATTTTTAATGAAAGTTTAATTCTAAGCATATAAATTTTCACCACATAAGCCTACATAATTATTGACTAAGCATTTAGGTAAATTTTTAAGATGTAAATCCTGTGGTTATAGTATTTTTTCTAATGTCCTTCTCTTTGAAATACAGTATTTTATTATATCAAATTGGTTATTGGTTAGGAAGGTAATACAAACAATATATTTCTGTTTTACTACTGGAAATAAGTGCTGGTCATAGGGTCTGCTATAGACCATATGACAGGAGAGACCATCCATGATGAAATCATGTATCGTGGAAACTAAATATTTCCACTGTAATATTATAAGATTAAATTGTGTCTAACACTTAATAATTTTAATAAATATTTTTAAAGGTTACTGAGTAGTAAAGTATTTAAACCCCATGGAATATCTATGGTGTTCAATCCTGGGTAGTTTATCATTTGAAACTGTGGCATATGTGATTTACATGAAAATATTTTCCATTCAGAACAAATGCTGGAAGATACATTTGTACATGGCAGTTGTCAGGTGACATGCATCTCTACTGGACAAGCCTTATGTGGCTTAAAAAGCCTTTCCTTATTTAAAGACCAAAATAATCTTACCATCTCCAAGTTACCAAGGATGTTTTTAGTAGGAAACAATCACTGACTGAATTGAGGATTCAAACAACAGGGTTAGAGAAAAACTTGCTATTCCAACATCTGCTCCTGGAATCCAGAGTTTCTTTCAGGAACAGAAGATTCTTGTAGGGTTTTCCAAGACTTTATCATAAGCATGTGATAGATAGATGTGTATCTCTGGTAATTCTGAAAGTGAAGTCTGTGACTCCCATCCAGTAGATGGAACAATAGATTTGTAAGAACTACCTTAAATACATCAGCATCATATATCAGGGTTAATTTCATTAAGACCAAGAACCAGTGTCATTGTACATGACACTGAATTACATTAGGAGCCCCCAGGATTGGAGTAGGGTACAGGACCCCATTTCCCTGTCCTATATCAGCACACATCTCAGAATGCTTCCTTCTTCTTGTGAGGCTGGGTCACAGGACCAGGAGCAAGCACAGGAGAATCCCCTTTCTCACCTGATCACTCACCCAGACTCCAGAGATGCCTCCTTGCTGAAAGCTTCTTTCTTTCCCACTGACATGGAAAATACCCTTTCTTTCGCCTCCAGGACAAGCGTTGGCATAAAGGTTACCACAGTTGTATTGAGAGGGATGGAGGCAGCTGGAGCACTAGAAATACATTTGTGTCTGTGACCTCACCTCCCTGCTGAACTGCAATTATCTTTTCATCTGTAGCTGCAGTGAATTGAAAATTGGGGATCTGAGAATACTGTGAAACTTTTTTCACTCTTGGTAACTGCCAGGATCCATTGAATCATAGTTGTTAATATCTCAAAGGAGACTGTTCATCTCTCACAGTGACTCTTCCTTTCTCAATTCCCTGGAGCAGACAGAGTCTGCCCTAGAGGGAGCAGGAGATCCTGAGCCTGACATGGTAGGGACAAGCAGTGAAGCTCTTGAATATCCTTGGCTGCACAGAATCCTTGTCTACCCCTGAGAGAATTCTTTCCCAAACTTCAGACCAGTAAGCTCAACATCATTTATGTAATGAGCACAGCTCTTTGAACAATGCTCCTGAGAAAAGTTTTCAAAGACAACAGGTGCAATGAAGAACATGATGACCATAGTTTACATTAGAAACCAGTGCTCTTTGGTTCTGCATTGTGCTAGCTGGTAAAAGCCACTGCCTGTGAAGTCAGCATCCTGTAGGAACACCTGCTATTTTCCTGGCTGTTCAATTTCCTGTCTATTTCTCTGCTTATGGACTAGAAATGCATCAGAAGATGGCCCAATTTTGGGCCCCTGGTACCCATAATGGAGGCCACAATGAATTCCTGGCTTTGGCATAGTCCAACCCCAGCCATTGTGTTCATTTGGGGAGTGAACCTGATGATGTGAGCTCTCCGTCTCAATGCAACTCTACCTTTTAAATAATTGATGTTTAAAAAAGAAGAAGAAGCCATTGTTCTCTTTATATTAATAAAAATAATTAAAAGAAAAATAAAACTGGAGGAAGGAAGGAAGATGGAGAGAATTGAATTGTATCTATGAAAAAAAAATTTAAAAAAGAATTGATACAGCTTCTTGGAGGAAATAAATCTCTTAGTGTCCACTAAGGAAAGAAAGCACTAGAGTGCTCAGATACTCCATGAAACATTTTTTAGAAGATTGAGGATGTGAGGATTTTACACCAAAGCATTCTTTTCCAGTTTTTACCTGCCTTTCTCATCTCAGGTGGACACAAGAACTTGAAGAGAATAGTATCAGTGGATACACAGAAGGTTGTGAACCCTCAGAAGTGAAACCATGGTGTAACAGGCAGATTCTAAATTTCCCTTAATTAGTAGATAAGCTGTATTACTTCCTGAATGCAAGTGAATTGAATGGTTACCATGATTTTTGTCCCCACCCCTTTTTTGCTTATTGATTGTAGTCTTGATTGTGTAATTAAGGAGGAAATATAACATGAGTTGAAATTCATTCTTTGAAATTTAATTCAAGGAAATGCACTATTTTTCCCACGTTCTTAACCTAATGTACCTCAACTTCCAAGTCAGACTTTAGAGTTGTGGTATTGGACAGCCCACAGACTGTTGGTTGGTGCCCTGTGCTCAGTGATGGACAAAGCTGCCAAGATTCCCTACTTGATTTCATATATGCCTGAGGACTTTTGTTGCCCCAAATATGACATGATAAAATGCCAGATTTTGTTATTTAATAAATAGTAACCTGCTTTATCAAGAGAATTGAACACAGCATTGCAGAATTTAAGGTATAGATATTTTCTTTTTCTTTATCAGCAATGTTATAAAAATAAAGATGGTATTATTTTATGGATATTTTGAGGATTTTAAATACAAATTTGTTTCATTGAAATAGTTCACTAGTTTTATGACAGTATGCATATTATTTTCCCTTGAGTGTTATTTCATCCGTATATAACATTCCTTAGCAAAAGGAACATTGCTGATGTAATGATGGTTACACCTATTTCCTTAACAAAGAATCAGTTCTAGAATTTTGTAAAAGATATTTTATCTGTATGAAAGGCAGAGTAACAGAGAGAAAGGAAGACACAGAGACAGACACATCTTCCATCTGCTGTTTCACTTCCCAAATGGCCATAACATCTAGGGCTGCGCAAGACAGAAGACAGGAGCTAGGAGCCCATTCCAGGAGCTCCACATGGATGCAGAGACCTAAGCTTTTCAGTGTGGGATGGTGTTGTTCCTGGGCTATTAGTGAAAAACTACGTCATAATTAGAGCAGCTGGGACATGAGCTGGCCCCATAAGTGATGCCAGCATCACAGACAGCTGTACTTGCTCTGCCACATATCCAACTAAAGGAATGTGTGACATGAAGAGAGCATTGTAATTTTAAATCTTCTAAATTTCTTCAATTGATACATTAAAATGAAACATACACAGGAAAGCTGTACACACAGGGGGATTACAACTTGACAAACCTGGAGAGAAAACCACACCCATGAACACACCACAACAGTCATTGACATGTCCATCATCTCCAAGAGCTCAGTCCACCTTTGTGATTTATTGTTATTATTGCTATCTCTAAAAAGGACACTTGTCATGGGATCTATACTCTTAGAGGATTTTTACTACATGTTCTAGCACAGTTAGCCACAGTAACTGTGCTGCATGGCAGAATTCTAGGCCTTCTTTGCTTTATAAGATTAAACTTCTCATGTTCTGATTCGTGTCTCCAATTTCTTATCTCTCCATCCCTGTAACCACCTTTATATTCTCTGCTTTGGGTTTACTATTTTTTTTATTTTTTAAGATTTCTATTAGATATTTGAAAAGCAGACTTAAATGGAGAGGCAGAAAGGGAGGGAGGGAGAGAGAGAGAATGAATCTTCCACTCACGGCCTCACTCTACAAAAGGCCACAAATGTCTGGACTGGGTCAGGTTGAAGCCAGGAGCCAGGAACTGCACCTGGGTTTATCATGTGGGTGTTAGGACCCAAGTGTTAGGGCGAATGTGTGCTGCTTTCCCAGCACTTCAGCAAGGAGCTGGATTGGAAGCAGGACAGCTAGAACTTGAACAAGAGCTCTGATGTGATGACATCATAGGCAGCAGCTTCACCTATTGTGCCACAGCACACACCTGAATTTACTATTTTTGATTCCTCATATAAGTGAGTTCATGTAGAGATTGCCTTTTTGTGTCTGACTCATTTCAGTTACATACTTACATTGTCCTTCATGTCCATCCATGTTGGTGCATTGCTTACATTTCCTTCTTAAGACTAGATAATATTCCATTTCTACATAGCACAATATCTTTAATCACTTACCTTTGATACATACTTTGGTTGCTTTCATGCCATAGATATCATGAGCATTGTAGAGACAAACATGAGTTCAAGATATATTAAAGA